ATAACAATAAGCTTACATTCAAAATCCCAGCATGTGATGATGTCCATCCTATGCCCAATGCAAAAGGTGTTGCATGGAAATAGCTTTCAACTAGCAGTTTGTGATCCTTATATCTGGCTGTACTATATTCAAGGACAGAAAGGGCATACACTGACGTTAGTGCATGTTGTACAATGCACAGAGCACACATCCCCAAATCCACCTCTTGTGGAAAAAAAGGAATGAAAATAATTGCACTGCCAACACTGGCCTACTCTGTTTTGGCTTGCTACAAAAAACGTTTGTTGCAAATTTATTAATTCTATCACTGCCAGATCTGTTAACATTTACAGTACTTCTCATCTACCCATTAACTATCAAACAGCAGCAGCATCACAAGATTACATTTGTGTTAATCATGACTCAGTTGACAGCACTTTTCAATCTGAATCTGGGTAGTCAAGAGTTAATGTCCTTTCCCAGAGGATTGAACACAAAATCCAGTCTATAATACTGGTGTCTGTAAGAAGGAAGTGCTGCATTCTTGGGGATTGCATATTTTCTATGAGACATTAATCAGAATTCCCTTCTGCCCTCTAAGATGGACATAAAAGATTTCATGGTACTATATTGAAGAACAACAGGACAATCCTCTCTAGTGAACTGGCCAAAACTTATCTCTCAATCAACATGACTGAAAAAGACTTAACTTGTCATTATCACATTACTGTTTGTGGAAGTTTGTTGCATGAAAATTGATGTTGCATCTCTTACATTCCAACAGGGACTACATTTCAAAAACACTTAATTGACTGTAAAACACTTTGGGACATCCCCCGATGATGAAAAATGCTGCATACAGTGTATTTTTTTTCCTCGCCAACATACAATGGAAATAAGTTACATAATGGAGCTAAAAAATGCTGAGTTTCTCTTCAAATCAGGTCTTGGGTTTTCATGAAAAGCTTAATCCCAGCCCACTATAGATATGCCTACATTATAAGCAGAGGGATTATATAATGAACAGCAAAAGGACCATGAGTCTTGTACAGCACAAAATAGCAGTTGTTAGCACTTAACAGCTACCATAGCTATCTGGGTAACATGTCGCTGCTTGTTACAACTTTGTGTAACCTGTTACTGTCAGCAGTGATGGGTCTTCAACAGAAAAGCAGGTTTAAACCCAAATGCACACAATGTCCTGGGGTTGATAACTGTGATTGGATCTATTTCTGAAGGTTTATCTCATGATATGCTTTCAATGATTGTTCCCCCTAACTACCCCGACTCATTCCAGCCCCACTGGTTGCCCAGTGCGTTCATTTCCTGTTCACAGCAAATTGGAAAGCAAAAGCTCTTCAATACCCCATTTGATGATATTTGTCTTATCAGTACATGCTACCCTTTAATTCTATTATTTTATTAGACAGAAAAATACTAAGGAAACCGTTCTTTAAATGTTAAATTTCCCAATGATACTTCCTCATAGGTTGCTTGCAACAGTGTCCTGGAGATGAATGTTTAATTCCTGGGCACTTGGCAGTCCTACAATTATCACTTCTATTTTAGTCTAAAGATTAAAACATATGCCTGTGCCCCCAAATAAAACTGTGTCTTAATACAATGACTGTACGATGGAATTTAACTTTAAAGCAGTCAATAATTGAAGTACTGTGCCTCGTCCAGGTACAGAAAGAAAACACAGTAATTACGTACAGTTCAAAGTGGAAGTAAAATTAGGGGAGTGCATGTTCAAAGTACACGTAAAAATTATAGAGACATTTTCTCCTCCATTTTTGAGTAGGCACGAATATAAAGTGGGGAACACCCACTTTAAAATTAGTAAGACTAAGAAAACATGTTCCATATATATCGAGATAAAAATAATTCATACCAAACTGGGTACATGATAGAGTTGAGTGAAGATGAGTGTTCAGCCCATTTGATCTTATCCTTCCAGAATACCAACCACACATTACCACGAATGGAGTCAGCCGTGGTTTAAATGGTTTACATCTCAACTAACTGTACTTGGTTCTAAGCCACCTATTCCAGTCACCGATTGCTGTGAAGAAACCCATTTTTCAGCCCTGCGCATGCCTTGCAAAATCTTCAATCAATGCCTTGTTCTGATGTATGTGTAAAAATTCGTCCAGGTTTACTTTCCCTACACTTCTTAAAAGTATTTTAAAACACCTGTAAGTTCCCTCAGTTTTCACAGCTGCATGGTTTGCTAGTAACATTGCCTCAAATCTGTTCAACGTTCTATGTTAATTAAAATGAACCAAGCTGCTCCAAGGCACACCTTAGCATCACTAATGGTACTGAAACTGACCATTCAGCCCAATTGGTCAATGCTGGTATTTATAGTTCACACAGGCGCCCCCATGTGATGTATCCTTCTATTACTTCCTTCTCCATTCAACTTGTCTTTAAATGCATCCAAGTTCTTCACTTCAACCACTGTGGTGGTAGTTCTGCAGTGTCATCACATTCTGGGTATAGACATTTCTCCCAAACATAGGTGAAAAAATTTTGGAGAAAAGATCTAAAATAGCAGGACTTGGAATTTTTAAAATAGTTATAAATAATTTTAGAACTTTTTGGGGCAATATTTTCACCTGTTCTTTGAGTGTAACTGCAGTAGAAGCCCAGGTAGCAACAAACTCTCCTGGTTTCTGTTGATTTTCCATTGCAGATTACAGTGGGTGATGAGGATAAAGCTGGGAAATTTCAGCCACATCACTACATTAAAGGTCAAAGCAAAATAAATTATAAACAGCTACACACATCAAACAAAAATATCACATATTTCCATATTAAGTCTTTGAAAAGTAGACTTGCAACAATCCCAATCAGAAGGATTCATGCACAAGCCTCCCCACTAGTTCCCAGTATATTATCCAGGGTGATTCCCTCATTACTGCAGTACTGTTGGATGTGCTGTCTTTCAGCTGAAACTTCCATTTGATATCATAGCTGTTCTCTTAAGTGGATGCAAAAGGTCTCATGAGACTTTGTTGAAAACGATCAAGGATGCTCTCTCCAGTGTTCCAGCCAGGATTTATCTCACAAGTAACATCACTAAAAATCTCATCATCCAATTATTACCATGTATTTCCCACAGTTAGCACAATTCAAAAGTTCTCATGTAGAAGGGACAAGGAGTAATTTATCAAGTTTGATGACAATAAAAAGTGAAGCAAAGGGATACTGACAACAAAGTGATTGGGCAGTAAGGTGGCAAATGGGTGTAAAACACAGGAAAATATGCAACTATTCATTTCAGCAGGAAGAATTAAAACCACAATATTTTATAAAACTGTGAGAAATTTCAAAGTGTCAGCAAAATTTGGGTGTCCCTATGTAAGGACGCCTGTAAGCTGAATTTTCGCTTCAGAGGCTGAGGTTTCAGAACTCAAATCCAATACTGTGGTAGGGTAGTTAGTGATCTGGTGTTTTTACAGGACTACCCCGTAATTGACATGGATGTGGTTCCCTGTCAAATTAAGGGTGGTGGGCAAGGTCTCAAAGCTGAAATTATTTATCATTTAGCTTCCAGCTTTTGGGAAACAATAGGTTGTAGTAGAGGAGAATTAACGGAGGGGGCACTTCAACATGAAGTTGCACTCTCATCAACTCTCAAAAAGTTTAAAGAAATTATCACTATGAGGTGTGGTGAAAACACTCTACAGGGTGTCCTTTACCTGTACCCTCAACCAGTCAGACACGAAAGGCCTTTCAGTACAGATGGTTCTTACCCCCCACTCTTGAAAACTGGGAACCAACTGGAAGTTCCAGTCAGCCTCCTATAAGTGTCCTTAAAAAGGTTTAAAACAATCCTAATTGGTAGTCCACTTTGGCTGACTCTCAGTTTCCTGGACTTGCCTTCCTGAAAATGGCTGGCATGAGGACAAGAGAGAAGAAACTCATACTCAAGTCACTGCTGGATTCTTAAGGTCTCTCTAGCTCTGCTCCAGTCCTTGACAGGGTGTAAAAGTTCTGCCAGAATGTTAACATGCAGGTACATCAAGCTGTCAAGAAGGCAAATGTCACTTTGCCTTTATTGTAAGAGGAAGTCTTGCTACCAATAATGGAGCTTGGTGAGACCTCATCTGGTGAATAATGCAAAATGTTGCTCCCCTTATCGAAGGAATGATACCCAGAATCTATTTCACAGGCTGGACAGGCTAGAAGTAGGGGATATGATTTCAGGGTAAAGGGTAGATCATTTAAAACAAAGAAGAAAAGGAAATTATTCACCCAGAATGTTATCTATCTTTGGAGTCCTCCAATTCAGCAGCTGTGGACACTCAGTCAAATAAATTCAAGACTGAAGTAGATTTTTAAGACACAGGGGCAAATCAAGGGATAAACAATTTTGTTGGGAAAATGGAATCAAGACAAGTCAGCTGTGATCTTACTGAATGGCAAAGCATAATCAAGAGGCACAATGATCTAGTCGTTCCCCCTAGTTCTTATGTTCTTAGTAGGTCTAAAACATTTTGGAATGTTCTGATATTGTGAAAGGTGCTCTGGAAATTTAAGTATTTTCTTGTCACACTTTGCAGTGATTGAAGACTATAACAACAATTTCAAAAGAAACTCACTATATCTCCGTGACTTTAAGTGGTGGCAAGGTGAAGCAGACAATTGCCTGGGGCTCAATAGTCTGCCTGAATTACACAGTGAATCACCTGGAACTCACTAAAGAAAATGGCTCCTGATATCGATCATTGGAAGTGTGAATGGGTAAATGTTAGAATTGGGCTTTATCATGATGCAGCATTCAGTCAAATAGCTCAATGTGATGACCATCTGGATAAGGTAGCCAAGGGTGCCATGGTAAATTCCATCCAGTAAGGAGTTACCGGAAAGGCAGAAATAATATTCGGTAAAATCAACTTTGAGTTTCTGTTTCTTGGAAATTCTATTTGAAAAAACATTGAATATCTTCCAGGTCAAATATGAAAAATCAAGGATCTGATTTTGTTAATTAATATCATGCAATATATTAAAACTTCATAAAATAATTTAATCACAGGCAAATTTAACTCAAAGAAGCAATCACTATTGGTACGAATAGTATAATGTTCTGCCCTGCAGAATATTATAATTCTTGAACAGAAATCATTGTTAGGCTTTACAACTGGTTAAAACAGCTATGCAATGTACAGAGATAAATTACAAAATATGCAAGAAATAGTGGCCATTTAAGATACTAGGTTCTATTAGGTTACAGTGCCCTGACATCAAATGTCTCGAAGTACAAAATTTTAAAAACATTCTCCGTGTGGGTATTGCTGGCAAGACTGGGATTTATTACTCATCCATGGTTGTCCTAAAAAGGAACTGGTGGACCACCTTCTAAAGCCATTTCAAATGACAATTAAGAGCCAAAGATGATGCTGTAGGACTACAATCACAACAGACCAGACAGCAGGTTTCACTTCCCTGAAGGGGATTCGTGAACTAATGAATGTTTCTAAAACCAATCCTGCAGCTTTGTATTTACTTTCATTAAATTATTTTTATTTGCAAACTTTCAAGATTGAATTAAAATTCTCAAATTACTGTGATGGAATAAGAAATCTGACTGTCTGAATCATTATTCCATTAACGACTTATACAGCCATTTCCATATTATTTGTGTTAATTGCACCAGGGAATAGGATGTCTAAGAGGATTTTTTTTATTCATACATTGGGTATGGGCATTATTGGCTAGGCTAACGTTCATTTTGCATCTCAAAACATCCTGGAGAAAGTGGTGCTAGATTGCTTTCTTGAACCGCTGCAATCCTAGTGAAGTATGGAGATGCAATGCTATTAGGAAAGGCTTTCCAAGATTTTGACCTATCGATAGTAAAGGAATGGCAACATGGTAACAAGTCAAGATAGCGTGTGGATTGCCGAGATCAGCAAAGCTAAATTCATCCCTAGCCTCATTCTGTGTCATAATCATATAACTTCCAAAGTAAAGGCTGAGTAGTAGACATTCAGATCGACTGGCTTGTAGAAAAGGAGGTGGCCAGCCAGCATATCCTTGCTATTGCTAAATTAGCAGAACAGGGTCAGGGGTGGTTTGAAGTTAGGGCTATGGCTCAGTAGGACCTCCATGCAAAGTTAAATTGTAATGCACAACCAAAATGGAATAATGGAAGCCCCTATTAAGTCGATGACCAATAGACTTTTTTGTAAATCACAGCACTACTTTCTTGAATATATTCAGAAGTTTAATTATTGTTGTGACCACATATTTAAAAAGAGATCAGATTATCTGGTAGAACATCAGGTTTCCTTGTAGAGCTCACTGTTCATATTTTTATAGTTCCCATTGCAATAGACACTCGTGACCATTTCAGACAATCACACATGTGAAATAAAAGCTTGAAAATACTTTTCCTTAAAAAGATGGAATTCACAAAAATGTGCTATTACTAACAGGCAAAGAAACAACATTTTCAGACTGTACAGGACCAGAAATGTTATTTTCCGGCTTCTTGTATCATTTATTAATGCAAAATAATTTTACTTAAAATGCTTTAAATTAGAAAGGAGGAGAAGGGAAAGAAAGGAACATATTGAACCAAAAAGACTTTGGGTTTTTTTTTACAAGAATGCAATTTTCTGAACAGCTTGGTTAAAGATCATATTCTTCCAGTAAAATAAATCAATGATATGCTGGAAAGTCATACCTGCAGTCTCCTAAATGCAATAAAATATACAAGTAGTCCACAGAATAATAAAACATTAAAAAGAATACAGTAGAAGCAAGCTTAATATACACTCAATGGTGCGAGAATAAACTCAACATCCATCTTCAAGGCTCCCCACCCGATCCCCTCTGAAGGAACTGCGTAGTTCGTAAGAAAACAAGAACAATGTGCAAGGTTGCCCCACAGTCTTGTGGATAAGCTCTGGAAAAGAAAGTACTGGCAGAGGCTTCTCAAACGGTCCATGCCTCTCATTCGCGTTAAGTCCCGTTGAGGCTTTAGGGAGACACAGCCTACTAATCAACAGCACCATTTTAGAAGTTCTTCATTATATGTTCTCCATTCACCTGAAACCATGTCCTTTCAGCAGCATTTTAGACATTCTTGCCATCCATTTGAATGCCTTTTCTTTTTCTCCATATATATAAAAAAATCAAGATGCCTCCCGTCAATTCACTGAGCAGTCTCATTCCACAATATTCCTCCTGATTGCCTTGGAATTAAGACAGTTTTTTTTGTCCATTTTCAATTTGCTGGGAAAACAGTTCTATTGAGGGCAAAGGGAAATAACAGTCGAAAAAAAGCACCTTTGGCAATAGGCTTTTGGCATGGAGCAAAAGAGATGTACGTGCATGCCCCCCACTGTAAGTCCTCATGTAGCTTATTTTCACCTCACATCTGCAAGAGAAGAAATATTAAAAATTAATGATAACACCAATGCTGCATCTTAAGTAAATAGCAAACAATCACCACTTTTTAGAGCACGGTTTGAAATGGGTCTAGTGTGCATTGTGGTTTAATAAATCAGCAGTGACATCTTAATGTCAAAGTCTTTGCTAATGTTTTCTTGGCAAGTCACTCACCCAAGCCCACATGTGTGTAGTAAAGGAATTTGATGATTGCAGACATAACAATGAGTTAACAGCAGATCATGTTGTAAGCTTTAACCAGTTATTTAAAAATATAATTAGCAAGCTTCTTTCATCTGCAATCAAACTGAATCAAGCTGAAGGACTGTACATAGATATACGCTTTTCAGATATCAATATTAAATCAACACGAGTGTGTAGCTGTGCCTCCTCCACTTAATTCTCTTCCTACTCCTGTTCCGGTTCCAAATGGGTCTTTCAGCTGTATTTCAGAGCAAACTGCTACCAGCAATTCACCATTAAGAACGTATTCAGCTGATTCTAATTCTAACCCAACTCAATTTCCGAATGTATTATTTTAAGCAGTAATCCCTGACTAGTGGTCGAGACTACACTGTGCAGCTGTACAGCTGCTCTGAGGATCTGCACACGCCTATCAGCGTGCCAACGTATTGACTTCCAGTTGCTGTCATCCACGAGCCTTGGAGGTCCATGCAGGAAAAAAATAATAGAGGGGACACTGGTCAAAACACTATCTTGGACAGGTCATTGTGTAGTGATAATATCACTGGACTTGTAAATCAGAACACCAGGTTCAAGTTCAGGGAACATTGGCTTGAATCACAATACAGCAGTCAGTGAAACTTGAATTCAATAAAAATCATGAAATAAGAAGCTTGCTTGTAACCCCTGCTGATTGTTGTAAAAACACATCTGATTCACTAATGCTCATTACCTGATCTAGTCGGCATATGACTGCAGATACATTGAAATGTAGCTAACTCTTAAGTGCCCCTCTAAGGATGGACAACAAATGTTGGCCTGGCAAGATATCAGCCCTGTTAAGACTGGCTCATGCAAGATCCACAGTAACATTTGGGGTAGCGTGGGTCGGGGTGGATACTGTCAGGTACCGCTTAAAACCAGAGACATTTTTGGGGCTAAATGTCATCATCAGAAACAGTACAATATTAGTGACGCTGGACTCCAAAAGGATAATGCTCTGGGAAGTAATTCGCTAAAGGAACAGTGTTCAGTCAAGTAACCAGAGGAAAGGAAACTGTAGCATGACACTGCACAGATACAAGATTTATTTTAAAACAAAGATTTGCAGAGCAGCCAATTATCAGGCTCAACACGAAATGGTATTTGGTAATCATCACCTCAGCAACTGAGCATTCCACTCAGTCCACAATCATCACTTCTGCATATGGATTGCTCAGTTTCCAATTCCCCAGTGAATAAAGGCACTGCCCAATATATTAAATCACATAGACCTGAAGCCTCCTTGCCAGTGCTCAGTTTAGTCAGAGTAGCAAGGCATAACAAATTGTTCCAGTGTTTCTGAGCTAAAGAGATGGGAGGAGCTTACATTTCCACTTCTGTCCTGACTGTTAACCAGGGGCTCTCTTACAAACTGGAAGGCAATGGGAACAGATTGAAACTTATCTGTCATATCCTTCATACAGACATGCCTTCTATCACATAACATTGCAATTAAATGTTGGCTGAAGTAGCCAAAAGTGAAACCATAAATAATAATTAAATAACAATAAATAAATGAGTAAGGGTAGTTTGGGGTGCAGAGGAAACAGAAACCTTACTTACTCAGACAAAACCTTTCATTTGGGCTAACCATTAGTACAAAGTGCATTTATGAACAAACAATATTACAAAAGTGCAGTCATTTCACGCAAAATCATTCGCACAGGGCAAGTCATTGAGATCTGTACAAGAAATCAAGCAGTCAGCAATCAGCAATAGCACAGGAAAAGGTCAGGCTAGGATTGTGCAGGTGCATGCCCTTCAAACCAGTGAAAGATAAAATAAGCAGTGAAGGTGTGAAACATCCAGCAGTGATCAGCTTCAGGAAGCATAACTCCCCAAAGGCAGAATCAGTCAAGCCCATCAAAAAATAATTTCTACCCAATCTCAAGGTGAGATGTGACACAAACTGGAACGTGATTGTGTTAAATTATAGCATCTGATTATTAATTTTCTCTGATGATTTATGCAGGCTGATATCAGTTATCAGCACAGCAGGTCCTACCTGAATGCATCCCAGAGCTTTTATGTTGGAAACACATCCTTGTCAGGTGCCAGTATTAACTTTTTACGCTTCCGTTTTTTAATTTTTTCACTATTTCTTCCTTTAAAGCGCTTTGGGCTGGTGAAAGGCCCTAAGAAAATGCACTTGTGTTGGAATTTATACAGATATCAACAAGTACTGGAGCTGTTTCTAGCCAAAAACAGATCACAATCTTACTAACTCAGCAGCTTTATCATACTTCATTGACTACTAATATGCAGGGTTATCATCTTTTTGTTCCGTCTCAAACTAATGAGGAGGCAGGAGGCTCAAGCCTTATTGAAAGGAAGAATCATTTCAACAAGAGAATTCAGAGCATGCGTACAGTAGCTCAGAGTTTTTAAACTCAATTTTTTAAGAAGTTCAATTGTTTTTTAAAATCAATTTTATCACTTTCCTGTTTTATTTACATTGTTCAATTAAATCTATTGGATAAATAACTACTACCGATAATTCAAAGGCTTAAGTCTTGAACTAAGCTCGCTAAAAGTAGGTCTGGACCAAAAAACTTCAGAGTTAGAAGAATGTGAAATACACTGACCCAGAAAGTCAGTGTAATATCACAGGGTAAATGATTGTTAAAGTAAATGGACAGGAACCAGGAAATGGGGATTAAAGAGTTGGCTGACAAAAGATCTCGATGGGTTGAAGTGTCCACTTTTGTTCCTGCCTCAGCTTTTGTGGATAATAAGGAACATTAACTTTAAACATTAACTTGCTCATACAAAACCTCTTACTCTGGGCCAGAAGGTCTTGATTCAAGACCCACCTGCCCTGGAAGAGGGTCATAACATGTCCTAACATGGTTGATTAAAATAACTACAAAATTTATTTCAACAAAGACATTTATTCTATTTATTTTTAGCCCTCATTAAAACAGCATACTAATAACGTTCAAACAAACACATTAATGTCTGCAAGTGAAATCAAAAGGTACAACTCCAATTCCAAGGTTTCAACTTCCAAATTTTTTGCGAAGATAATCAAACAAGGGATAATTTATAAGTCTACATATTGAAAATTAAGACTTAATATCTGGTTTACTATTTAGCAATTGCAAGACAGCCCTTAAAAACTAAGTAGTCTAGTTCAAATCCAATTGTAGCAACTCTACCAGTAAAAACTTTAAAATGTTACAATGCATCTGCTGAAGAAACTGCAAATTATATTTTAATATTGTGAGATGTACTGTTTAATAATGCTAAATAGATTAATAACAACTTCTCCTTAAATAGCACCTTTAACATAGCAAAACATCCTAAGGCATTTTCACAATAACGCTAAAGACAGATAAATCAAAGCACCGTAGATGCAGTCAAGTACCTTCATGTTCTCTGAATTCTGAATTAGAATGTAGTAATGTGCACATACATTCCAGGTGCTCTTCTAACCTGACTACGACCTCCTTTAATCTGGGCTTGCGCCTTATATACTCCACTTTTGCAACCTGTAAGTCAACAAAAAGTATGTTAATAGTCTTATCCTACAGTTGCTACATGATATAGTGAAGAAAATGAATTCAGGTCATGGGAATTAAAACAATCACTGTTATGGATTCAATACTTCCAACATAATTTAATGCAACTGACACTTTATGTAATGCACCCCATATTTAAAAACAGAACAAAACTATCTTATGTTTCCATGGGTAAACTGTGCGAACAACAAGTACAATATTGGATTTCGGGTTACTGAGGTGAAATTAAGGAAACAAAATGTATCACCTATGACAATATCCCAATTCAAAGCAATCTGTGGAGTGCCTCCCTCCAATAGTGCTGTATGTCCACTGTTTGAATGCAGTCATTAACCTCTTCTAGTCAACTGTGTTAATATACCACTCAAAGCAGCTTTAAACTTAAGTTTTCCAGAGCACTAAGCATTGTGTGAATAAGAAAATATTAAAATCTATAGTCAAATGTACAAGTTCAGTTTTAAGTCACAAAAATTATCCATGTAATAAACAGAGCAGCAACCGTGAAGCAAAAGTTATTCAGTACACTTGATGTAAACCTTTGAATGCAATTCTATTGGGCCTCTTCTATGCATCAACACTTAATTCCAACCTGTTCAAAATAAACAGATTTTCAGGATCTGTAGATTATAAAATAAGGCCAGTTTGAATCCCTACAGTGCGATTCCTAGAAACTAGTTCTGACAAAGTGTCACCAGACTTGAAACATGAAGTCTGTTTCGCAATCCCCAGATGCTGCCAGACCTGCCGAGTTTCTCCAGCATTTTCTGTTTTTGTCCTAGATACTAGAGCTGACAAAAGACTTATATTTCATAGGACTTCTAGATCCGTGTATATCAATAACTCCCTCTAACAAATTAACTACAGAGAAATACACACATCATTCCAGTTTCCATCTGTCCAGCAGCTTGGGAGACTTAAGTATATCAAAGGAATTATATAAATGCAACTTATTGCCACTACAGTGATTCTGATAATGAATTAGCAGGCAATAATCTCACTACACAAAGCTGAGAAATTTGACTTTCATTTAGCAATTCATAATTCAAATAAGAGAAGTTACATTGAAAGTTTCTGGGGCATCATAAAAAAACCAAAAGGCCTTCTATTTCTGTTTGCAGAAGGAAACCCATTACCCCCATTCAACATTAAGTACAAGTCTACTGGATTTGGTAGACTGTAATGCTCAAAATAGTCCAGTTAATCAAAGTTATACAAACAATAACTATGGACTGGGCAATAAATCCAGGATTACACACATCCAATGAATAATTTTAATTCTTTTTGCTCATTTAGCACAGCTCCCCATAAAACACTATGAGAAAACTAAGGAACTCTTTCCTGTGCCTGCGTACAACTTTAGTCCAACATTACAGTATTCCTGTTCAATAGAAATATCTTCAACATTTGGGAAAATCTAATCCAGACATATTTTGGAAAATTATTGTCTGGCCATTAGCTTGGATGAAGATATCTAATTAAAGACAGCATAAAAATAAAAGGGATCATTTAATTTTAATAGTAGAAACAAAATCGTTCAGTAGCACATGCTTGGATTTCTGACATGTTGCTTTCAATCTGGCAGTGCAGATATGTAAAGTTACTCTCAAAACATGTTTTAAAATTTAGAAATATATAGAGCTGCAGAATTCAGTTTAAAGCTATTAAAAGGTATTGTGCTCCATATTGGTTTAGTTCTCCACGAACATTATTCTATCTTTATGCCCTACAGAATTACCGGTGGATCTCTCAGCAAGGAATAGAAACATGTTCCATTTATCATTAGCAGACACATACACAAATGTTTCCAAGGCTGTAACCCCTGCTGAGAGTCACCTATCCGGATGATAAAAATAGGTGATAATGGTAATGTTCTTAGCATGACAAAACTCTAGTTCAGTGTGAGAAGGAAAACTTCGAAAGGCAAATCACTTCTATTGTAAAAAACGAACAAAAAACACTTCCAGCAGCCAGCTGCCACAGTAACAGGATTCATCTAAGGCACCAAAAGGACCAAACAACAGCATGAACAAAGAAACAGAAAACTAACAAAGGTGAATATAGACCACTCCTTAGATTGGTGCTATGCCACATTTACATTAACCTCTCTTTGCAATAGATGATGCTCTCTCTTACGACCATTTACATTTAATTCAAAGAATTCAGGCTGCACTTTTGAATATGTAGTTGCTTTCGAGTTCTATTCGTGACTCAATTTTGCTCACTCTTTCCAATGTGAAAGATTTGGACAGTTCAGCAATGGAAAAATAATGCATGTTTGTAAATATTCAGATCTGGAAGCATCAGTGGAGTGCAAAACAAAATTATATTTTGGGTCTGTGGCCTTTCATCAGAATCTTGGCCTGTTTGCAATCTGACAGCAGCCTCAAAAACTGAGATGCGGCACTAAGTGCAAACTTAACAACAGCACCACACCTCTTCACAAAACCCACCCAGACCAAATTTTTTAAATTGATACGTAGTTCTGACTGAATTCAGGATCAGCAAAACTGCTGTGATATAAATTAAAGGATAATTAGCCTTGCAGAAGAAATGAGGTGATCAAAATTGAAGAGCTATACAAGCAATTCTCATCTGGGATCAGTTGGTTCTGTCCTGAACCAGTACGTCAAATGGTGGAGCCCTATCTAATCTCAACAGCAGAAACAAAACGGAGATGAAAAATACTCACTCTTCCTTTGGATTGTAATGTTTACAAAATTAAAACCATCATATCTGTCCTTTCAATCAAGTGCAAGGAGAGGGGAGAGTGCAGTGGGACCTGGGTGTCCTTGTGCACCAGCCGCTGAAGGTAAGCATGCAGGTGCAGCAGGCAGTGAAGAAGGTAAATGGTACGTTGGCCTTCATTGCAAGAGGTTTTGAGTACAGGAGTTGGGATGTGTTGTTGCAGTTATACAGGGCCTTGGTGAGGCCACAGCTAGAATATTGTATGCAGTTTTGGTCTCCTTTTCTGGGAAAGAATGCTCTTGCTCTCGAGGGAATGCAGCGAAGGTTTACCAGGCTAATTCCGGGGATGGCAGGTCTGACGTATGAGGAGAGATTGACTAGATTGGGATTGTTTTCGCTAAAGTTCATACAAATGAAAGGGCATCTCATAGAGACTTATAAAATTCTAACAGGACTAGGCAGGGTAGATGCAGGGAGGATGTTCCATGGTGGGTGTGTCCAGAACCAGGAGTCACAGTATGAGGATTCAGGGTAGACAACTCAGGATGGAGACGAGGAGACATTTCTTCACCCAAAGAGTGGTGAACCTGTGGAACTCATTAACACAGGAAGTAGTTGATGCTTAAACATTGATTCAAGAGATGACTAGATACAGCACTTGGGGCGAATGGGGAGAAAGCAGGATTAGGCTATTGAGTTGGGCCATCAGCCATGATCATGAAAAATGGCAGAGCAGGCTCGAAGGGTCAAATGGCCTTCTGTGTTTTTCCAGTTCTACTTATAACTGTCCAACAATGTTTGAGCAAGTTTGCAAGTTTCCCACAACAAATCAAGACCCAGACCATATCAAAAAGCATGAAGAATGAATTAATCCTGCCATTTTCAATAGTCTGTTAAGAGTCCAATTAGTTTCATTGCATTTGTTATGGATTTAACAGAAGTGCCAAACTGTTCAGGACTGACCATTAACTAAGTGTCAGTAACTGGAGATCAGGTTCACTAAAACAATGCATGTCAGATTTCACCTGAACAAGAAGCAGGGGTAGGCCATTCAGCCTCTCAGGCCTGCTCTGATGTTTAATAATCATGGCTATTCTGATTGTACATTCCCACCTACCCTAGATAACATTTTACCCTTAATGAGAATCTATTCACCTCTAAAAAATATTCAGACTCTGCTTTCACCACCTTTTCAGGAAAGTACAGGATCTTCCAAGAAAAAAAATTACCTTTTCTCTGTTATAACAGGTGACCCCGATTCTGGATTTTTCCCATAAGCAGAAATGTTCTCTACCACGACAAGACCCCTCAGGATCATACGTGTTTCATTCAAGCCTAACCTGTCTAAAGTTTCCTCATACAACAAATCCACCTATCCAGGTACTAGTCTCGTAAACATTCTTTGAACTGCTTTCAATGCATTTTCATCCTTTTTAAAATAAGATGACCATACTGCTCATACTCCAGCTGTTAAACAATCTTAAAAAAAGATAATAGTGTTCTTCTGTAGCAATTCACTACTCCCTCTACCATCTCCAGCACAAAACAATTTGCTCATTAACTCATTCATCTTGTGGTATAATTTGTTTTTAGATCATTTATGATGGGAATCACTACAATAACTTGATATGATAAAGTCTTATTCAGATCACAGGAAATTGACAGTTCGAGCTAGTTATGATATTACATCAAATGGTATAAATACTATATTAGTCAGTAGACATTGGTTAAGATTGTACCATGGTCCAATTGATCATATGAAACTTCTCTGTCTCACACCTAATCACTTTTAGATGAAAATGGTGGATAGAAGAATTTTATTTAAATGTCAAATGTATTTGTTTCCAATATCACTTTTCAATTTTGACACAATTGTGTTTATTGTACACATAATATTGCAATTTAAAAACAGACAGGGCTGGAGAAACTCAGCAGCTCTGAAAACGTCTGTGGGGAGAGAGAACCAGAGTCAACACTCTTGAGTCCAATATGACTCGTCTTCAGTTCTGAGTGTAATTTGGTGATACTCTGCTACTGCCATCAAGCCTCCTTAGCTTCCAACATGGGTTGGCAAATCAAGAGCTAAAACATTTCAGGCATATTTCCAGCTTGTGTCCACATCTACTAAGACTTTGTGCTTTCAAGATAGTCAATAGACAAGTTGGAAGGCTCTTCATTTTGTTGCATACATTTTTACATCGATAGTTTCTTCACATGATATATACCTGTCACAATGTATTAATAAGAGCCTAAAAACAAGCATCTCCTGGCTCACTGTGAGATTGATATGGGAACATACACATCAACATCAATCATCAGACTCGCAATCTTAAGTGTTACAAAACTATTAAACAGTTGAATCCTAGAGGCTTAGAAATTGGGCTGTGAGTGGTTGTGTAAATTGAAAGATGTGCATCTGATGGTGTAATCTTTAGTTCACAAAAATTCACCAGAAGGTATTCAGCACTTTGTTGTATCCTCCACAACACAGCCATTTACTTTTGATTTAGCCTTAAGCAGTTGAGTAGTCTTTAAGCTGTTAATGGTTTAGGCAATTGTCTGAGGTTTAACTCTGATGTCTTTTAGGCTACAGCTGTTGCATTAGTTTCTGCTTTTTGTGAATTCTTTCCTTTATTTTGCCTCTCAAGTCTTAAACCTGACCAAATGAAAGCACAAGGTTGCCTACAGTATCTCAGTATTACTATGGCTATCTATGTACTTTGATAATTTGGTGCATCTGCATGTGCAAATGTTTGGGTTTGCCAGATCTCAATTTTATAGTATTTGGTTTCATTTCTTTATATTCTACAAATTTTCAGCATCAGACTGGGTCTAAATTGAGTATCAGTCTAACTGTTGCAACAATAATGGAAGGTAGCACAGGAGTTTAGAATTTATTTGGCAGAATGAAGTAAAATTATATTACTTCAATACTACAGTCATTGTTTCCACAATGCTCTTATCTCGATTTTTCTAAGCTACAACTACACTACCCTAACACACTTTCACTTTTAGATGTATCACAATCTTATACTTCAACTTACTGTTTCCCCTCCCCCACCTCAACCATAGAATTTCAAAAATGCTAATCTTCCCAAGTCTTTCCTCTCTTCAACAGTCTTCAGGATTTTAAAACAATCGTCAATTAATCCAGTTTTCCTCTTTTAGTTTTTTCAATTATCTTAGTGTTCCAATCTATGGCACCCAACTTTCAGCCTCTGAAATCAGCAACAACTAAATAATTAAACTGACCTTATGGTTGTTTGGAGCATGAATGGATTTGCAAAAGGAGGCAAACATGGAATAGATTCCCCAAAGTCTACGATAACTGTTTAACAAGGGATGCTTAATTTTGTATTTCTGCTCCTAATTAACAATTCCATTTGGTAGAGCTCCCTCTGTAGTAATGTAGAAGTTTCATTTCATGTTATTTCTGTGAAGACTGATAATTGATCGCAATGGCAAAAACTACATGTTTCTCCTTGTAACAATTTTTTAAATGACCTTGTATCTGTTGGCACAGACTTCTCAGGTGAGAGTACAAGAATCCTGTTAGTCAAGAGAAGTCTGCTGCTCAGACTAAAACTGAAAACAGAGATGCTTGTAGTCCCTTTAGGCAAATAAATTTTGGAGAAGAAGATTTATATAGAACTTCAGATAGTTCATTTTACAAGTCAAAGCACAGCAAAACACAATAAAATTCTTGAAATGTACCTTGAAACACCTGCCGCTGCAATGGAGACTATAATTAACAACTGGAGTCGTCATTGGTCCAAATTTTTACAGTCAATGAACAGGCATAGCTTTGAGATCTTTATCTAGAAAGGTTCTAATCACATACGCAGTGTATATGACTAGGCCCTTGTACCAACAGGCCTAAAAATCTAATTATATGCAGACAAAACTATAAGAAAATGAAGTAATACTTCCATTGTAACATGGAAAATTCTTAGCTTGCATGGGAGGATATGCAGTTATGAGGGGAATCCCACAAACTTGCCACATACTTATTCTACATTCCATGAAGAGTTTCTCAGACTATATGCATACTAGTGAACTACTTACATTAGCACTAATCTACAAATTCACTTCTCTACAGGATCTGCATTGCTCATCCCTAGACTAAAAGTGTGGTAACAATAAAAAGGCCAAATTTTGCACCAGATATTTTATTTCTTGGCTTTGCCAAGAAACTTATAAAAGGATATTTTTTCAAGATTGTGAAGCTTTGCCTCTCCAACTATTCTGCCCCTCTTCAGATGACACCAACTAATATACATTCAAAGAGTATCATGGTCATTCATTTGCCCCACCAAAGTGGTTATTTTTCACGTGTAAGCTGAACCAAATGGTGCCGATAGAATCAGAGAGAAGTCTCAAAATATCGAAATCAGTAAGTGCTTCAGCAATAGGACAGATACAGAGACCCTTGATGGGCTATTTCTCCATTAGCCCAAAGCTGCTAATGCATGTAACACCCTACAAAGAACATTACCCACAAACAATTAACCCACCAGGGACCAGAGGACCTTCTTAGTGTAGTCTACCAGGGCCAATGCTAATTCCCATTAAAACATCTCAGCACTTACTGAAGTAATCTTAGTTTGTACTTAGCCAAATGTGTGTGTTTCCTTATTCAGCATGTGATAAAAATTGTATAAATAGTATGGAGCTGAAGCTATTTTAAAAGGCAAGATAAAGCTAGCTCAACAAAGTAACTTCCAAGTATCTTGGAATTACACACAATATGATTGACATGCAACTTCTTGTTTCCTTTTCAAAACGCAGCCAGGCAACATATGTTGCCTGAGATTACTTAGTTCATACAATGATCAGATGAATTGTTTGTTAAGTTCTTCAGTGAAAAAAAGCTACAACCCACATCAAATTCAAAGCTGGACAACAAAGTGAATTAGCATCAAAACAAAGTTGTCACCAGTTTGGCTTTCTCTGGCATTTTATCTGAATTATTCTGATCTAGTGCAAGTCACTAATTCTGTGTCAATAAATTGAGCCTTTTAATAACTTAAATTACATAAAAGGACACTCTATATAGTTGCAAGTAATTGACTGTCACAATATGGTCACTGAAGGAGAACTAAGCTTACATTCCAAGAATTGCCAACATATGCATCTGTTCATGAGTCATGTGCCATGGAAATTACCGCCACTTTGCACTGACAGAATAATCACCCAGTTCCGACAAACACCAGCATTCATTGAAAGATATATTTCCAAAAACCAAACTGCTTCTATTCAAATCTGAACACAGTTAATTACATCAAAGGCCATGTGGCAATATCCATTCAGAATAAAAAAACAAATAAATACTCCCCATCCTGTCATTAAAACAGTGGGGTCTGTTTGAAGCACCAAGATAGGCTTTGTGTTCTGTGGCTGACCTTTATTTTGCTTGCTACTTCACATTAAAAGTAATAAAGTATGTCATTTCACAGTGGATCTTCAACATCATAAGCAGTCCTCATTAATATAACAGCTTTGCCACATTAATTCATTAACTTTGGCCAGAGCATCACAAAATATTGAATCTTTTCTTCCTATATTGGTTTAATTTTTTTAATAATGGCTTGAAATGCAGTTAACTCCTATTAAAATATATAAAGTCATTGATCAAAATGAAGGTTTTTCCACCCACCCCAAAACAGCTAAGCTACTGTAGGATATAAACGAGCTATTTTCCAGTTACTTCAGTTTGTGCCAAAAACAGACAGACCATATCTTTGTTTATTTTTTTTTCAAAAATGTATTCTCCAGATCCTAAAATAACCAATTAAAATCACTTTGAGGCTTATTAAACGATGGATAAGATGATGTCAAGTTATTTTTCACACAGCCCATGCCAATATGGACTCCGTCCAAACTCCCCCTTCCACCCACTCCTCTAAAGAATAGGATGAGATTACGGATGAGTGAAATTCAATTGTAAACCAGTCAGTTAAGTTATTTTTCCTCACCTTGACACTTCGATGATGTATCCGGGAGGGCTGGCATTTGACGCTGCCAGTATTGCAACAGCCTGTGCAGCGTCTGACCTCCACACAAGCAGGCCATATCAGGAAGTTGGCAGAGGTGGGATCTATCTGACTGCGAGGTATTTCATAAATGACAGTCCTTGTTTTACACACTGCAGGAACAGCTTCTTCTGAAAAATTTCAACAAAGTAACTTTGAGTACTGGTTCAAATATTTTATGTTTGAAAGACAATTTCCTTTGAATCTATAAGATATTTTTCAAAATAGAGAAAGCATTCAAGTCAATAAATGTATTTACTGTCAGAAGAAAAGTAACTTAAAGCACAAAGGGGAAATTTTGCTTGGCAAACATATTTAGAAAAACTGTTAGGACTTTTCTTTGTTATAAATGTATTTTTCTGTATTTTTTTTACATTCCTGCAGATTGGCTTGCTGAAAGTATAAGTTCAAGAACAAAAACAACCATCTGGTATCTAACTAACCAGTCACATGCAAGTCTAATGGTGAGTGTCAGCAAGTTATTCAACTGTTACAGGCTTTAATACTTTGCCAACCGTTGATATCCATACATTCCGCCAGGGGTTATTGAAAAGAGATCAATCAAAAGAACCTTGGTTAATCTTTCCTCTCTTTCACCTAAAGGGGATCCTCTTATGGTACAGTGGTCACGTCCCTACCCCTGGATCAGGAGGCCCAGGTTCAAGTCCCACCTGCTCCAGAGGTGTGTAATAACATCTCTGAACAGATTGATTAGGAAAAATAGGTTCACCTGAAAAGCACCAAGTAGGTCCACTGCAACATGTCCCTGCATCAGTTAACTCAATTAGGCATTAAACCCTGAACCTTCATAATTATATGGCTCTATCACACAAAACAGTGCATTTTCCATCAAACCAACCACACTTTAATCTATTATAGGAGTCGGTAGCACGCAAAGCAGTGCAGATTCTCATGGAGTCACACATGCAATTAAACACTGATTAACATTAAATTTGTTTGTTGCCGAAATCCTAGTCATAAAGGAAAACCAAAAAAAACCATGCAGAAGCGAATCCAAGGTAAGTTGGCATAGGTCCTAATGCGCTCATTCAAGCCCAAACCAAGCATGGTACCTAAGCCCTTTTGAAATTCACCTTTTAGTCTCAGTATTTTGCCTGATTTCAATTCAAGCACACTGGTCCTCTGTTTAATAGAATGGTATTAGGTGAAGAAAGCATATCATGAACAACATGTTAAATGGCCGAAACAACATTACACAAGAAACCTAATAAACAATTACAAAAAAAATACTACTTGTTGCAAGATCTTGTCACTTACAGGCTGAGTAGTAAGCAATGGTCAGGTATAAAGTCCCCTGATTATACCTATTATTACACAAAAACACTTTAAAATGTATTAATCATTACCTTCTGATTCAGCCAGCAGGGATGTGTACATTGCACTTGCTTGCATACCACTACAATCACACCCAGAAACCATACAATGGAAGTGTGCCATTCATAACTTGCACCACACACATGCGGTGAGAGAAGCTCTACTTTCATTCCAGTGGCTTTCACCACTGCAGATGCGCACAGATTACTTTCCAACCTACCTTTTCTCTTCTTCCTACCATGACCCTCTCTTTACATTTTTTTAAATGTCGTTATTGTTCCTACTCTGAAAATGTAAATTACTACTGAAATAGTTTTGTAAGCACTAGCAGATCAAACTCATTCACAAGTGGGTATTTTCTCATTGTGCAGGTCATGTGGAAGTAATTGGAAGCAGGCACCTTGACGGATTGTTTCCTTTGATTGGCCTGAAATACAAAAGCCAACTGGATAACCCAACTGTTCTTGGCTTGAGGACTAAGAGTACAGACCACAAATTAAAGTTTAGAGATTTCTAATCTCTATCTCTCACTACCACATTGGACAGTATGTTAACCAATCCAACTTTTAAGTATGGGAGTCATTTCACATGGCAGGTCATCCATTCTGTCTATGCCTGCCTTCTGCACCTAATACAGACTTATAATTGCACACCTAACATTCAAGACTATGGCCCAAGTGCTGGAAAATGGGATTAGTGCAGACAGGCCAGTGCCTCTTCTGTGTCACGGTATTCTATAACTTTACCCAAGTTTCACCTATTACCTATCTATTTCCTGCAATTTTTTCAAGATTGTAATTATCTTTATTATTGAAGGAACTTAAAGCCCAGAACACAAAAGACAAATTGCACAGTATGTAGAAAATTCCATAATGTAGCACTGTGACAACATGAACAACTAAATGAGGAGAATGCACTACGGTTTATATGCCCTTTCAAAGCTTGATATGAATGACTTATTGTTATTTGGATTTATTTACTAAATGGCACACTCCATTTATATTATATGGTGATTATAGAGGTGTTGGATCATGCCCAAAACTACTGTCAAAAGGAGAACCCACACAAATCCATTCAAGATGAGGTTCTGTTAGTATATCGGCATGTTGTTTATCCCTTGTGTCCTGGCCAATACTATACATTCAATCAACACAAATACAGATTATGTGGTTATTATGATGTTTCAATTTGTAAGACCTTGGTGTGCACAAAATGACTGTCTTATTGCCTTTATTACAACAACAGCTACACTTTTCAAATACGTATTTAAATAAAGTGTTTTGGTACAATCTGAGATCATGAAAGCTGCTATATAAATGTAACACATTCTTTCTTTAGAAGATAATGAGATGATGCACCACCAGGAAAAATGAGAGTATCCACCACAAACAACATTGAATCTTGAAGAATGTCCACATTAAAGAGGTGTTAGTGTTGGTCTTAAAATGCATAAAGGAGGATAAATCCCCCAGACTCGATCAGGTGTACCCCAGAATTCTGTGGGAAGCTAGGGAAATGATTGCTGAGCCCCTTGTGGAGATATTTGTTTCGTCGATAGGCATGGGAGAGGTGCTGGAAGACGGGAGGTTGGCTAATGTGGTGCCATCATTTAAGGAAGGTGGTAAGGAAAAGCCAGGGAAGTATAGACCGGTGAGCCTGACATCATAAGTTCTTGGAGGGGTTTCTGAGGCACAGGATTTACATGCAATTGGAAAGGCAAGGACTGATTAGGGATAGTCAACATGGTTTTGTGCATGGGAAATCACGTCTCACCAACTTGATTTTTTTGAAGTAGTAACAAAGAAAATCAATGAAGGCCGAGTGGTAGATGTTGTCTAATTGGACTTCAGCAAGGCATTCGACAAGATTCCACATGGTAGACTGGTTAGCAAGGTTAGATCACATAGAATACAGGGAGAACTAGCCATTTGGATACAAATTTGGCTTGAAGGTAGGAGACAGAGGGTGGTGGGGGAGGAGTGCTTTTTGGACTGCAGACCTGTGACCAGCAGTATGCTGCAAGGATCGGTGTTGGGTCCACTGCTTTTTGTCATTTTAATAAATGATTTGGATGCGAATATGCGAGGTATGGTTAGCAACTTTGCAGATGACACCAAATTGGTGGTATAAGAATAGTATGCTTCAGTTATACAGAGCACAGTCAAAACCACATCTCAAATACATTGTAAAGTATTTTTCTCCTCATTTAAGGAAGCATGTAAATGTATTGGAGGCAGATAAGCAGAGGTTACTACATTGATACCTGGAATAAGCAGGATGCCTTATGAGATGCTGGGCTTGTTTCCACTGGAGTGAGGGGTGACTTGGCCCAAGATCCTGAATGATCTTAACGAGACAAACATGGAAACAATGCTTCCTTTTGTGTGTCAGTCCAGAACTAGGGGACACTTTTAGAATTAGGGGTCACTCTTTTAGAACAGAGATGAGGAGAACTTTTTCTCCGAGGGTTGTGCAATTTTGGAACTTTGCCTCAGAAGATGGGTAAAACTTGGATTTTAGTATTTTTAAGACAGAGGTAGATATAATCTTCGCAGGTCTGGCAGCATGTGTCAAGGGAAAAACAGAGATAATGTTTCAGGTCCGGTGACCCTTCCTCAGATCTGAGGAAGTTCTAGGAAGGGTCACCGAACCCGAAACCTTAACTCTGTTTTTTCCTTCACAGATGCTGCCAGACCTGCTGAGCTTTTCCAGCAACTTTGCATTTGTTCCTGATTTAAAGCATCCGCAGTTCTTTCCATTTTTATGTAGATACAATCATGTTGGACAGGGGATTTAAGGGTTACTGGGGTGATGGGAATATGGAATTTGAAACACAAATAAATCAGTCATGATCTTGTTGAACGAAAGAGCACTCTCAAGGTGCTACATGGTCTCCTTCTGCTCCTATTACACACCTTTATAGTTGCCAATGTTACTTCTGAACAACTAGAATTTCTGATTCTATATCTTTCTTTCAGCGCAAACAGTGGAATTCCACAACAGAAGGGCCAGCGGAAGTGACTCTACGTGAGGCCAAAGAGAAGCCTACGTACTCAGATCATAAGATGTAGAAGCAGAAGTATTCAACCACGCAATGAGATCATGGTTCATCTGATAATCCTCGACTCCAATTTCCTTCCTTTTCCCCCATAACCCTTGATTCCTTCACAGACTAGAAACCTGTCTGCCTGTCTCACCTTTGCATATGCTTAACGACTGGTCCTTGACAGCCTTCTTCGGTAAATATTCCACGGATTGACCACCTTCAGAAAAAAATCCACTTCATCTCAGTCTCAAATAAGCATGCCCTTAGTCTGAGATTACCTGATCTGTGACTTTCCCCCAAGGGAAACAACATCTCTCCAACTATCGTGTAAAGCCACCTAAGAATACTGTATTTCAGTAAGGTCTCCTCTCACTCTTATCATGAATAAAGCAAACCCAACCTACTCTACTCAGCCTCTCCTCATAATAAAATCCCTCCATGCTTAGGATATCCTAGTGAACTTTCTCTGGACTGCCTCCAATATCAGTATATCTTTCATTAGATAAGGGGACCAAAACGGCTCACAGTATTCCAAGTGTGGTCTGACCTTGCCTTGTTTAGTTTCGCAAGACTTCCATAAGATCATAAGATATGCGAGTAGAATTAGGCTATTTGGCCCAGCAAGTTTGTTCCACCATTTGATCATGGCTCATGTTTCTCAATCCCCTTCTCACCGTAAGTCTTGATCACCTTACCAATCAAGAATCTCTACTTTTATACTCCATTTCATTTTATAGAAAAGTCAATAGC